TCTATTTTTCATATCTATCATACCCAGATTTGAATATGAAAGGACCTTTTTCTTTGCCAGTCAAAGATCGTCACTTTAAAGGCATTTGGCAGTCATTTGATTTCTCGGGCTTTAGAGGGGAGGAAAATCTGCTAAATATTTCATATGCCATGCTAATCCCTGTAATATTGCATGACTAAAGTGAACTATGTGAATTTTTCTCCCTGTTAGATGAGTAAATGTTAGTGGAACTACTGAATCATAAAGTGGCTATATTAAAAATTGGTGTTTGAATCCCATTAAAAGTATCTTCAAAACATGAGGCATGTTAATGCATTGTCTGAATAAAAGACTAACACAAGGGGACCTAGGAAGCACTGTAATGCTCAAGGTCTTGAGAACTGCATTCTGGTACCGGTTGCTGGACTGTGTGGGTTTGGGTCGGGAATGTTGTGTATCTGTCTGCAAACTGAGGCAGCTCAGCTTCAGGTTGCTGGATGATTAAAAAAAAAAAAAAGTTACCTCGTTCATTTTAAACCAACATACAGCAGAGCAGAGCAGACCTAAGGGGGAAATATGGTCCGTCAGTTTGGAGCATGCCCTGAATCTGAGTGGATTCATGATGAAAACATGCGCAGATAATTGAGAGTGTCAGCTCGTCTCCAGATGTGCGCTGACCATCGCTTCCTCGCTGGCCAGCTGTCCGACCTGCGGCTCAATTTGTCCGCAGCTCAGCCCACTGTCTAAACGGGCTGCAGAGCCAGGGCTCTAACAAGATCCATCGGTATTCCAGCTCATTTATGAGCTGGAATACCCAGGTATCTGGGAAATGCGGATTTGGAAACCATTTTTGGCGTCTTAAAAGAATGCAAGAATGTTGCCCTAGTTTCTTACAATTTATATTGTGCATATTCATGTTTTTAAAAGTCTGAATATTTTTGCTTCCTGATGCTGTACTGTGTGATTTTGTTAAATGTAGGGTTGTTTTCCAAACCAACTTTCCCGATGACCGTAAAACAGTGCCGTTTATAAAAGCTGTAGACCTTTGGTGTGTGTGAGGACTGCACTGGCTGCTTCTGCGGTTGGGTTCCTCCTCAGCCTCTCTAGTCTGGGCTCAGCAGATGCCTGATCCCTGTACTCTGGCTGCCTACACGCTGCTGGATAGGGTCTGCTTCTGGTCTGAGGCGCGTCTTCACAAGCTGAAGCACTGCAATAAATTAGAAGCGGCTTTTCGGTTTTGATGTGGGGGGGCAGATGTCAAAGATGTGCCATATGGCTGTGAAATGTAAAATCTCGGGAAGGACGCAGCTGCTTTTGTGTCCGTCACCGAGCGTGACTGAGGTGGCATGACGTGGGCTGTGGCGTGTAGACGGTTGCATGTTATCTCAGCTTTGTTTAAATCTGGGCCTTTGGTGAGGGCCCTTAGCCCCACAGGCTCTCCCTGGTGGAAGCCCAGTACCGCGAGGGTGCCTGGCTAGTCAGCGCTGGGTGCTACAGACACCCTCCTGCATCACGCCATTGAACCAGTGACCAACACCTCCCATAGCCGTGCCGGCATCAAGGGCGCAGCAGAGCCAGATTCCCTGGCAGAATTAGGGGGGCCAACTCTTTAAAATTATGCAAGGTACAGGGGGCTAGAAGCCTAAGGTGATGTTTTATCAGGGGGGCACATAATGGCATAGAGCACGTGCTCCGCAATCAGCCAGTAGAAGAGCCTACGATTAGCGAAGCCGGTGTTGATGGGGTAGAGAGCGGGGAGCCCTGCGACCGTACCCCCCGAGAAGGGGGATGACGGCCTGCAGCCGCCAGAGGGATCGCACACGTGTAATTCTTGTTAAGGGAGATAATCAGAGCTGCTGAGAATTTAATTAGACATAACAGGCGTCGCTTTCACGGGGCCGGACATGGCGATGGATCCTTGAAGCCTCTGACAAATAATTTGCACAGTCTGATGTTCGTGTTCGACAGCTAGACTCCCGGCAATTAACCTGGAGCGGGTAGCGCCACCGCACCGAGCCCCGTTTGCCGTCAGCCCCCGGCCCGGCGTCGCAATTACGGTGGACATGCGGCTGAAGACGAGTAAAGCTGACAGGCGTGCGGCGCCTGTGCGAGCGGGCAGCTCTGATCAGCCCTGAGTGACAGGTCCGCGTCGCAGGTGCCGTCAGCGTTGTCATCGCAGGGTGCGGACTGGGTGGCCCCTCACGCACACGCTCAAACGCATCTAACAAATAATAACAGCACCGAAGCTAATGGTGCATTTTTCATTATAATAAAACCTCTCGTGTCGCACCCCATGTTTGGTTTTCTCCCATATAACAGCTGCCTCCCTGATTTGCTGTTTCTCTTTTGTTGCGATACTGCAGGCCTATTTTCATCGATCAGACACGTGTTACCGCTGACATGCTTCCCGAATTGCGCTCCCATGCGTCAGTAGTTGCTGCATTCTGCATGTGACCCACACCCCTCTGCCTCTCCAAACAGATACCATTAATAATCCCTTAGGGTGTCCCTGGTTCCCAGCACTCTATGCCAGAAGGGCCTGTGTTCTCCCCAGGTTGTTTCACCTGTTCTGCCTGTGCTAACTCGTCCCCGTGACTCTTCACAGCCATCAGAGCGAATCCGCATCGAGATCACGTCCCTGAGGCTGGCACGGGGCTCCAGGGTGGCCTCGGATGACACTGTGTCCCGGCTCTTCATAGAGTACCGTTTCCTGGACGGGCCCTCGGTGGAGACGCCACTGTCTTTGCCCAAGCCCCGGGCTGGCCAGAGCATCTACTACAACTACAGCAGCGGTAAGGCCACAGCAAGCATGAGACCATCCTCCCTTAACCATCCTGTCTGGATGTCCCCTTAGTGCTCCTCACAGCTGGTGTCAAGGAAAAGAATCAATTATCGTTCTCTCTCTCTCTCTGTCACAGGGGCCTAATTAAAGCTCTTCAGACAGGTAATTCAGCCTCAGCAGGCTATCCTTCTTAATAAGAGTAAGATCTGTCAGAATGACAGTCAGTGGTGAAATGAACGTTCATTGGATTCAGCCCCTGTTTAAAAGCCGTAATGGGCATTTTATATATTTAATCAGGTTTTTTTTGTGTGACCTCATTCTGATTTGCACTCTCCTGGCGTGGTGAGGTAGCACCGTGGCCTGATCCCTCCGAGGCTGGGGGGACCGAATGTGTGGGGCTTGTATTTTCTGCCGTGTCATTATGGGGGTTTCCTGCTGGCCCCTCCCTCTACTAAGTAGATGCTTTAAGGTACCCATTAATTTATGCTATCAACCAATATTTACAGTTTTTTGTCCTGGAAAAAAGATTATCACATTTAGTGTCATATGAATGTTAAATCCTCCCAGCTCAGAGCCCAGAATAGTAATAGTGGTATCTTTGGGGAGTAATTGATGAAAATCAAGCTTTATTGCCGGAGGAAAACTTAAAGCGGCAGAGTGGGGTGGCCTGACCTTTGTGCCAGGGCAGACAGTGAGCTTCCTGCTCCCCGCAGCACATCTGTGCTGTAGTGATTCTGCAGACAGCGGCGTGACTAACCGGAGCCCTGTCCCGGCATCTCGTCGAGCCATCCCACCTGTCAGGGCTTCCCCCGGACCTTTGATATCGGTCCTGTAGCGGCTTGTGATGGGTAATTTGGTTGCTGCGACGTAGCATGGCTTCCCTGAAATCCCACCTCCAGACGAGGCTGGGGGGGGGGGCGGGTGGTGGCAATAGAATCGTTGCTGTTGTCAGAGAGAACAAGTTCGCTGCCACACAGCATCATTATGATGGGCTCCCCGGGCCAGAGAGACGATGTTAAGTCCCCTCCGGCAAGCTGCGGCGGAGGCAGCCGGTTTGTGCCGAGCAGGCTGCCAGCGTCATTAACGGGGGATGACAGTTTATCCGGAGCGCTGAGCCTAACGGCTGGATCGCTGACAGCGTGAGCGCCGACCTGCCAGGGACGATCGGCGGGGCGGCAGAGAGCAGAGCCAGACCTCAGGAGCCCTGGGCTTAGAGTCAGTGAGCAGGCAGGCGGGGGGCGGGGCGGAATGGGGGGGGGCATTCTTTGTAAACGCTTTGAAATGTCACGCCGTGCACAGTGAGTGACCGGGCCATTCGTCCTGACAGTGATTCACGTGGACGCACAGAATAACAAGGCGAGAAGGGACCTCCTGCGCTCCGCGATCCGGGGGGACGCCAGGCAGCTGGAGAGGTAAGTAGCAGCAGCGACAGAATGTCGACGTGTATGTTCACCCACCACCTGTCTGGCCTGTAATGGGGAGGCATCCGGCCCAAGTCGGCAGGACACCACCCCTCTCTCCATGCCTCCCCCCCCCCCGATCCTGAGGGTCTGTCCTGTCTCTGGGCTCAGTACTGCTAGCCGCCTCTTGGTAACAGGATGTTTCAGACTCTGCCTAAACTGATTTCCCCAGCTGGTTTCAGCATATTTTAAATTTGACATTTACTTTGCTCAGAGCCTATTGGCATTTTAGGTGCAATTAAATAATTTAATATCGATTAGTGAATTATCAGGCCGCGCAGTATGCATTTCCATACAGGTTCCATACAGCTAATGAAGAAAGTGAACTACCTCACTCAAGGGGACAACAGCGGTGTCACTTTGGGACTTGACCTCAAGCTGTCATGACTCCCGCTGTCCTATTAATTAAAAGTTACCTTAAAGCCCCGGGACAGCAACCTTCAGAGGTCAGGGCTGGCCAACCCTACAAAGTCAATTGTATCAGTTACGCCTCCATTTGGCCATTTGTAAATTTTGTTTAACTGGCCATTAAGTGCATTCTTGACAGGTGTGAAAATGCCACCAGGGGGCAATCTAGCTGCCAGAAAATGGCATCGGTAGCACTGTTGACGTATGTTAGCTACACCTGAATTTGATGGGATTTATTTTTTTGTTCTGAAAGAGTTTGAATCCAAACCTATTTCAGCCACCGAGTGTTAATGATTCTATAATCTGATCAAGGAATACAGCTTTGCGATCAGAACTTAATCTTCATTGTTACTGCAGTGGTTGAGATCTCTTGTCATTCTCGAGTGAGCAGGATTGTGTTAGGGCTGCACCGCAAGTAGAGGCCTTTGATAATCATAAAGTATGTTCGATATTTCCGAGTTCCTCATGTTGAGTCCCGGTGTTGTACAAAACCATATTCCTCTTTTTCCAACATGTTGGAATTTAGATTCCCATCACATGGTTGGGCGTTTGACAGCTCGCGAACATCGAGTGTCTTTGGAAGTTGGGCCGAAGCGTTTGAGAAGTGCACCGCGGTGAATTCTTTGGTCCGCACAGCTGGCTATCTGACAAGACAAAATGAGAATCAGGCCCAGCACATCGCTGTCATTATGCAGAAGGGGGCAGATAGAGAGCTGGAGGTCAGCTCACGTGAGTCAGCGCTTAATGGATTCAGGTTTTCCTTTTCTCGGGACGTTGTGGAAGATGTTGTGTAGGCCCACTGGTACCAGTGAGTTCTGTCAGCGGGGGCTCTGTTGTTCACACCAGTAGGTAGTGCTTGTCGTCTTTGGCGTTCTGATCAGAGGAACGCTGCTCTGGTGGAACGGAATTCTTGCCGACTGTGAAAGTGTGAGAAGCCGGAGACTCCCTGAGCTTTTCATCTTTGGGTCGTTGGTGGGGGGGGGGGATGTTGAAGTGCTTTCCTGGTCAGATGGTGGCAGGTGGCAGAGGTGTTAAGGCTCTGGTGAAGGGCGGCAGGTCTCAGAAGGCAAGCTGTCGTACCCTTGGGAGAGGTGCTTAATGGTAAGAGCCTCTGAGTAGTATGGGAGGGAACACTGGGTAATTTCATCAACTTAATAGAGGTTATGCACATGATATCACGGTAAGCAGATGTCCCTGCGGTTACAGTCACTGAGTGGCACTGTTAGTGTTCAGCTTGGATGCTGTGAAAACTAAAATGGGAATGCAATTGATTGTACAAATCGATTTGAGAAAAAATCAGAGCATATCAGACCTTTTTGCGGACTGCCAAAAACTAAAGAAAAGAGAAGCAAATCAATCATTGCAATCTACAGAAACAGCTGGTATCCCGGCTCTGAACGTGGATTTGCAATTACTATTTTGTGTCAGCTATGAGGAATTATTTTGGTAAAATCATACCTTTGTTATATACTATATCCACTACTCATCAATTAAATATTTACCATCATTCAGTTTAGTGCTGGGCGATAAAACAGTCTCGATTTTTCTATCGATAAAAAATGAGGACGATCACGATGATACACACAGACTATAAAACTCGATCAACCAAGTTTGCTCCATTTTAGAGAAAGCGCTGACACAGACAAATCGATGGCCTATCGAGCAGAGGTTTACTGAATGCCAGCACAACAGCCAATCACCGACGACGTTGTAATTTTGCCCATCCTCCCTTAACACCTGCATGCACATTACTTCTTTTACAATAACCAGCTCCTGATGCAAACTGTTAGCAGTGAATAAAACTATTGTGTATAGTGACTCTGTGTAAAAAGATAGCTGCCAGGAAAAAGATCAAATACATGTATTTCAAGGATTCAAAGTTTTATTGTCATGTACAGAGTACAATGCAATTCTTACTTGAATGCCTTCTTCACAGACTGGATGATTAAACAAATAAAGCAGCGCAACATTATAGTAACTAACAATAAATAAACCACTGACTTACGTGTACTATTAGAGCATTTATGCAATTTATTTAAACTTTATTTTACCAGGTCTAATTCAGTTAAATGTGTAACTGTAAAGTTTTTGTCAATGTTTATTTAAAAAAAAAAAAATCCATGATGAACCTTGTGTTCTACAAACAAAATTTCTGAACCAAAAACGTATTACGTTATTGGCCACTTATTACACTGGCATTTTTTATTACATTAAGAATGGAAAAATTATTACGTTATTTCATTCACGGTAATAATTACCAAATATTACATTACTGGATGCTACAGGGGCTACTCCACAAAGCAAGTTTTGACAGTTAGCCAGATAACTTTAAAAGTTTCTACAAAATATGTTAGGAAACCCGATTGCTAGTCCGCGGTCCACTGGTCCTTTGGTAAGTTGTAAAGATCCCTGTCGAGTCCAACTGCCTTTAATGTAAACAGATAATCATTTGTTTAACAGTTTCTCCAACTACAGCATTTTTTGCCACTCAATCCGTCAAGGGGGACGTGTTCACAGGAAAGTGTCCTCAGTACATCCCCTCTATCGACTAGCCATAGTGTAGACAGGGTTCTGCTAAAAGTGCCGCCGGTGACATTCCAGCATCAAGTTCATCGTGGTGAGCGACCCCCCTGAGGAGCAGCAGGACCAGGAGTGCGAGGATGTGGGCATGGCCTTGGTCAGGATCGCCAGCATCCTGGAGCAGCAGCGCGACCTAGTAGATGCCACACTGGACGGTGAGTGTTAGTATGACATCACCCCCAAAACATACTGATTAATCTTGAGAAGGCTTACACTAAAATGGACACAATGACAACATGGACATAAATTATTACTAACTATATGTTTAAAGATAGAGTAACCCTCAAATTGACCCTAACGTGACGCTGTTGATTGCGTTGTGTGCACTTGTGACCCACCCCACACCACACCCCCCACACCACA